TTATTTCCTCTCCGTTTACGAATTGCTACTTCAATATTTCTCCCGTTATTCTACGTTATTAATTTGAACCTCATTTTACTATAGTCAGAATTAGTTCTACTTTTATTGTATGTTATTTGAACAACAATAAAGGATAACTACTATACTCTTCGAGCATATAACCAATCAGTATTCAGCAAGTCATTCTTTCAAAAACATGACTGCTTTATTACTAACAGGAACAGTAATCCTCATCTTCTAATTGTCTTAATTTTTGTCACGACACATATTGGTATAGCGCCCTTTGTTAGCACAAATGTAAAACGATATATAACGTCTGGCCAAAAACGTCTGGCTTTCAAGAAAGAGGATTACTGTTCCTTTTTTTCCACTCGGGATATCAGCGATAGTCGGGAAGCAAGAAATATAAAGTTTGGGCTTTCAGGAGATCTCTAATGGATACAGATGTTACACAGTGTGAGTCAACTGCAGGCCATTCGACATCCTCACGATGTCGTGATTTTCGGTCAGTCAATAGTTGGAAACAAGAAAACAACAGGGGGTTTTTTACATGTTAGTTGTAGAGGAGAAGAATTGAGGTCACCTGAAGTATTAGCTGCATCAAGTTTGATGTGGATAACGTGCGTGTGTCGTACGTTGTGGCAAAGACAAGAGTTGATTCTTTACTTGTCAAGGGTCAGGTCACAAAAACGACACAACTTGGTGATAATGAAAAAAAGAATAATCCAAACTGATCAAGTATAATGAAGAACAACTGATTGTCCAAAAAGAACCCCTTGGTTTACTCAATATCGCTTATATACGGAAAAAGTGGGAGTGGTTTTGCCATCATGGCTGAAAACTGTAGCGTTCAATTACAGCATAAGGATCTTAGGAGATCGAAACGAGAAGGATGTAAAATTTTTTTTGGGGGGAACAAGAACAAAGGAAATGTTTAAGATGTGAATTTAGTTAGATATTTTAAGCAATTGCTAACAAAGGCATTTCTAAACAAAGATATGTGCTTAGATAAAAAGGAAAAACATGGGAATTGAAACAAGAAATAAATCTAAGGATGTAAATTTTGCTAAATGATTCACAACATTTGGAACATTCATTTACAACAAGAAATTTATTTGATTTATTTGTTTGTTTGAGGCATGGTTGGAGTCTCGCGAATCGGGATTCGCGACACACGATAGAGGTGGTCAATGTCCATCTTTTCTCTCGATCAGTTTTCTACTCGATCAATTTCTCAAGAATTTCTAAGACCTCTTAATAATACTACTTCGCTACTTGGCTTACGTCGTACAGGATTGCGACGGTTTTTATGCAATTTTCGCGTTATTTTCTTTAAATCTTCCAAATAATCCTCCTGCCATATCTTCCACAAGCATTGTAACCTTCTCGAGCGAAAACAAAGAGACAGTAGTCCTCTTTGTCAAAAGCCAGACATTTTTGTGTTATATGCTTATATCGTTTTACATTTGCTATAACAAAGAGCGCTATACCAATATGCGCTCCATAAAGATACTAATTCTTGCAATCTTGAAACAGTGTAGGTCCCTTTCACTTGAGGAAGTGAAAAGCATCAATCCATTTTACAAATGTGTTTCATCGAGATCGGTTGGATATACGATGTCGGGGATTATTTACTCTTCCCTTGTTCTTGGTGATTTCGTCATTAATTTATTGTATCGATGTTACAATTGCCAAGTTCGTTGTTGTATTAATTGCCTAAGTTTGAGGTACTACCAACCAAAGAGGCAGAAAAAACCCTTAATTTTTGTCACGGTTAAAGAAAATTCGATGACACTCCCCTCATCAGGACTCAGTTTTTAAATTAGTCTCGTTACAACCCAGAGCCCCCGGGGTAATGAATAAAGATCACTGGTAATGGTTTATTAACTCTTGCCGAATGGAGCGGTTTTGTATCGCATTTGAAGTCTTCGATTCGTCATTCTCATTTAAATTGTTCTCATATTCCAACGAATTTTTCACATCGTTTCAGCCAGGTCACAAAAAATCCCCTGAACGTAATCCTAGCTCTTCATCCCTTTCATAATCTGCCAGTGTTATTCGTTTACCAAGAATTCAATCTCAGTTATCATAGTGGTGGATTTCCTTTCTTCCATAAGCTTCTTTTTCGGTGCTCTCTGCAAAGTTCTCTTTACCACTCCAACCATCCTGTCGTGAACAGTTTGCCAGGGGACCCCTGGGATAACAAATTGCCACTTTAATTGCCTTTTTTTTGATTGCTATTCTCCTGTACTTAGAAGCTAGAGCAAAGTTCTTGACATTATCGATTAACAAAAAAATTTGGACGTCGCCTTCGCTAACAAATCTCCTGAACGTTTTCATGAAAGTCTTAGCAGACATGTTTTTCATGATTTCCACTTTAATTTCTATGACTACCTCACTTATTCCATTTGGTTCGTAAGAAGTGAAGCTCTTTCACGATGATCTTATGTGTCAAAAAGAGTCGTCATACAAGTAATCCTCGTATGATACAACGTCATTCTCTCACTCATCATCTTTTGTTGGACGTAATAATTCTTTCCATTCTGTCTCCAAATCATTTGCCTTAGAGATTAGATTATACTTTACAACAACACTATTACTTGTTTGTCAGTAGCAGATTTTTGTCATTTTAGCTATTCTATCGTTCTTTGGCGACTTAATTCCGTTGATGGTTCCTTTCCTTGTAACTCTATAGCTTGTTCAACAGTCTTTCTTGCAGTGTTCTAAAGAGACTTCAAATTTCTTCTAATGAGGTAAGAAGGAGAACTTTCCTTTCCTGCTTCTTCTATGCTTTTTTCACCTCATTTTCAATTTCTCTTGTAGACTGATCTGAATAAAACTTACATGCTGCGTCGCTTCTTCCTTGATTGAATCTTCCGATCACACCTTTCTTAATTGAATCCCTCTGTTCTTGTTCAGATCTGGCTGGTTGGACCAAATTCATTGCCGGTTTTTCTTCGATCATGACAAAGCTTTTTGCCTCTTTGGTTGATGGTACCTCAAACTTGGGTAATTAAATCTTTTATTACAATAAATTTGTTAATATAACAATGAACTTCGCAATTAAGACATTGGTACAACAAAAATGATGAAATCATTAAAAACAAAGAAGACAACAAAGAAGGCCTTATTTGGCCGCATATCATGTATCCAACGGACTTCGATAAAACACATTTATATAATAGATTGGTACTCAGGACCCTCTGCTTTGTACCGTTTTAAGATTATAAGAATTAGCACCTTTATGGAACGCACATTGGTATAACGCTCTTTGTTAGCACAAATGTCAAACAATAGGCATGTAACCAAAGATGGCTGGCTTCCCACAAAGTGGATTACTGTCCCTTTGTTTTCATTTTCGATATCAGCGACAAAGACTAACCCTCCTTTATTTAGTGGATGTGGGTTACATATAAAAATCCTGGGATTTACCTACAAGATTATACAAAAATTCGAATGGAAATCGGCTTACCGGATGCACACAACGTCCCCAGCACAAAACAGCAAATACTTCCACACGACTTGAAAATTAGATAAATCGGGTGTAGGAAAATATTTTGTGTGAAATGATATATAAACACTCTGAACGCTGTTACAAGATCTCTAGGTTTGCGACACTCATATACTTCCATCTAATTTTATTATTGCTGCAGTAACGAAGTACTACAGTGATCTACGGTGGAATGTAATCTCAAACTCTGAGATTACATTCCACTGTAGATCTGTTATTGCTCTAAAGTTAGGTGCATTGTCACGACTGTTTCTGGTGTTCCACGACATAAGAATAAATCTTCGAAGCACATGTAGAGAAGCCTGTGCACTTAAATCTTGCACTGCTTCAAGGTGTACTACTTGAGGAGTCAAACAACAGAATACAATACAGTGTTCGGTAGTTGATAATTGTCCTCTAATGTTAACTGAGCCAAAATAATCTAATCCAATAATTGTAAATGCTAATGGTCGCTGTACGCGTCCTTTTGGACATGGGAAGTTAATTCGATAGCTGGAACGGTTTATTGTTCCACCATTTACACAATATACAATCTCCTTTGACGATTCTTTTCACTGTAGTACTCCTTCCTCTTTCTGTCCAGAAATTTTTTTAATTCCGACAGTGTTTGATTTATTATCTCATTATGGAACGTTTTTTTTTTTTCATGTGTATGACAGTCAGTGTCTCTACCTTATTAGATATATCGCATCCTTGTTCAGCTTAAATTCTGTTATACGTCTACAGCCTCTTAACAGTCCATAATTATCAGCTGTTAGTTGCAACTTTTTTTTCTGTGACTTCATTTTTCTGAGCTTCTTTAATGAGATACTGCTCTATGATTATGTAATCATCAGCGGTAATGAATTTTTGAAAATATTTTTGGTGATTGGTACTTGATTATACCAGATGCTTTTGGTAGACTTGAATACTGGAATAGTTGTTCGGAATAATTTATCCCTGCTATTAAATCGACTGATATCCAAAAGCCATCTCTTCTCTTCATCACAGAACTTCCTCGCGTTTACTCGCGACATAAATATTACAGTTCAGTATGTTAACCGATCAATTCTAAATAACATGTGTCACAGTCCTCGGGTCGGAAACAAGGTAAATTATATAATCACTTATAACTGCCACACAGATTATAAGATTACACTCGACTTACCATATTTAATTCATCTTCTTGTAAGGGAAGAGGACTGTATGCACCGATAAAACCAACTGATATCATGAAAATGACTGCAAACTTCAACAATTTAAAAGAATGACTAAGTATGAATGAAATGCAGTTTTTTCTATAAATCATACAACTTGCGTAAAAATCATCACCATGTTGTCTAATGTATTTTTGCGCGATTTAGATGCCTTTTTTTTACGAATCTTTTGCAGGAATTTTAATAATGTTTGTTTCGGGAAACGTACTTTTTTTTGCAAGACGCAAAACAACAGAAAATTTGCAATATTAAGACAGGCACCAATACAGATTAAATATACTAGGAAAAAAATGTCAAGATACAGAAGATATGGGATTTGCCGGTGGATCCAATCTTTCGATCACTTGATCTATGCACTGAAAAAAAGACATCATTTTGAACACTATGGTTCCGACGTTATGTCCACTGCTATTTAGTCTCACTGGAACGCCTGCTTATATTTTGTTTTTTTTTTTAAACCAATTACAACGAACAACGAAAGTGAAGAAAATTTGACCTCGAACCACTCACCCTCATCGATTCAAATCACCATTAAATATCATAACAAAAAGCCCACTGTTAGAAAATCAGCCGAATTTACCAATATATATTAAAAACCTACTGCAAGTGGTCCGTGTAACTGCATTTCCATCCAGCATGGCGTCGAGGTGACATCCTGGCGGTGATATTCTGGACCTCCCCAACCTTTTACGAATGATATTCGAATAAAACACATTTTTGTCAACTCATAAACATTGTTATAGCCTTCTCGCTCTGCTCGTCGTAGCATCTAAAAAAAACAACATTAACTAATCACTTGATTCATGTAATGTGCAAACAACGAGTTTATTCCCAAAAGTTCTAAAACAAGAAGCAACTATTACTTTTCAAATTGTTCACACCATCCAATGTTCAACCAGTGGATAAAGACTGATTTGAAAGTGTGGTCAAGCCATCAGTTGGGAGAGAAGTATTAAAGTGAATAATCAGACAAGCTTATTACCCGAAAAATAAGAAAACCTGCCACTGAGAGTTATAACGATTACCTGCACAAATAACTGATGATGAAATATGTACATGAAATGTCCAGGAGGTATCCTACAAACAGCATTTGGCATACAATTAAGTTTATAATTGCTATTTCTAGACTGTACGAATATTGGAGAATCTGAAAGATTCGTCACAATTACATCATGTGTCGTCTCTTCACATGTCAATTTCACTCCTGCAAAGAAAATTATTACTAAGATATCTAATGTTTTGCATATTATCAGTTATTATATACCATATTTATTGTTCATTGTAATAACATCTGCGATCTCCTGCATAAACCACAACTAACTACCACAAACTCAATATATGCTTCAAAAGAAAGTGCAAGCCAGTCCAACTTAGGTGCGAACTCGTAAGACTCTAAAATCTGTCAAATTCACTGGTAGCAAGCAAAAAGCCGTTTTTTTTGGACACAGGACATTATCTACTAATTCATTCTGTCACTTGGTGAATAGTCTTTTTGTTATTTTCTAAAAACTCTACCTTTTCCTATGTGTTTCCGAGTATTTTCTATGGTTGCATTTCGATTAACATTGGTCAGCAGGCCAAGACAGACTCGATCATCAGAATTTGATGGATCTGTAAATCCATCGACAACTACTTCCAGATTCCTTATCTAAATATATCGAAATATAAAAGTCGATAGTACAAATTAAATTCAAGATAATCGTTTGATTTCTCGGTGGAATTCTCATTAAGGACTCCACCAGCCAATATAAACGCAACTTTTCAGAATTTACAGTGCTGCAATCTGAAATCTGGAATTCAATTTGTTGTCTCAAATTATATCACTTCTAGGGTTCTAATATGCATCGATAATCACTGGCGATGAAAAAATTGAAAAACAGCGACAATGAGACGAAACAATCAGACGAGTCTGGAATAATAAACCTTGAAAAGTTCACCGACGCGAGAATTAAGCTCATAGTAGCCAAGTGAACACCAGAAATTCGGTTCTGGATAGTAGTAACCCGATTCGATTTCTGATGATATTGTTTCGCAGTCCTCGCTGAACACCGATAAAGGACTTGCTAAAAAAGAAATTTTTAAGTTGAAAATAGAATGTGCTCTTCCCACTGCTAACAGTTACATCCCTTATCTTACATCACTTACAGACAACACAAATACGACAAAAGAAACGTACCAGATGAGTAGGAGGAAGTATCTCGATAAGCACAATATTCCATTGGAGTATTTAGCGACGAAGGTATTTCAAGCGACTGATGATGTCCATACTGTAAGTTTTCATTCACTTAGCACGAAAGAATGAAATTCAAACGGAATTTTAAACTGCCCGCGGTCAGACAGGGATATAGCCTACTGAATTCGTGTTTGAAAATTGATATTAAGTGAGGATAAATGGAAAAAATATTCAGCTAATCAACAGTACGTATGTACTTACCATGTTAGGGGGAATAGAGCTCACTGACGGTGGAATATCTCTATGGAGAATATTGGGGAATGGAACAGAATGTGGAACTGCTACCGGGATGATCTGAAAATGACTGAATCAATCCAGCATTTTCCCCGAACAATTCATGCCAGTAAGAATTACAAATACATAACAATATAGAGATTTCGTCTCTATAGACGAAATGGAACCTATACTTCAAAACCTTCGAACAAACAAACAAAATACTACTGCATGCTTGTTGGCTAAGACCAGGTATATAGGCAGCCTAGTGTAGAAGTAAAATCAAGAGAACAATGCTTTCCCATCAATCTTTCGAGAATCAATGTATGGTTAAGGCGCAATTCCTTTCCCAATACATAATTTGCTACCATCAATGACTGAACAGTTCTAGTGAAGCCGATGATTATTAGTGAGCAGAAGTTCTTATAGAATCTTGAATCTTGACAATCCCAAATGCAAATTTCGGCCAAAAGTCGCTGAGAAGTTCAAGGTAATATCAATAACTAATTTTAATGACAACGACTTATCATGATGTCGATAATGTCGACAAAATATCTATAAATACTACCTGAGATTCAATCTTTTGGTAATGGTAAGGATTAATACAAATTAGAGGCTGCTTGCTATCATATGAATATAAACATTCAGGTACAGATTTGAGCTCATGATGCGATTGCAAATCACGCCATCGCCATACTTTACAATATATTACATGAGGAAGTCCCTTTCGATGCGAAACCTCAAAAAGGCAAGATTGAAAAATTACGCATTATTATTTTAGAGTCAAACAGTTTTTTTCTCAATTACCTGTCGATGTGGATAAGATATTTAACTTTGGCCACTTCCTATTAATTTCTCATAAAGCAATGTATGTGTATTGCCGAAGCATGCGTAATTAATCTTGATATAAAAGCAAGTATCCAAACAAAAATTTCTTGGTAACAAAAGCCCATTCTAATAAAGAGAAAAAACCGAGGGGCCACTAAGGATTTGTTATTGGAAACACAGAAAATAAATAAATAAAAGAACACCTGAAGTCGTCCATCAAGCGAACGAGGTATTGTGACACATTTACTATGAGATCCGGGATTTGCAAGTGCAAACTCAAGGTCTTCAATAGTACCTTGACCATTCTTTTTTTTTTAATTTTTTGACAAGAGAATCCACAGCCTAGAAAAAAGGAAAAGAAATTGTGATCTGGTAGATTTCATTGCATCTTGAATGAATTTAGAAAAAAACAAGGACGAACAATGGGATGATTTGGAAACTATCTTTTCAGCAGGAATTAAGGGTGCTGATGAACTAAGGATTTAAATAGCATCCAAGAAAATTTGTACAAATTACATTTTTTAGCGATGGTTCCCTCTTGCTAACCACCGCATCCATAACAATGAATGGAGAGAAAAAATAAGAAAAATTGCCCAGCACCCTAGAAAGTACACCCAAGTATATTGAAAGCAGAATTGTGCTTTAGCATTTCAAATAGACTGAAATGGAATGTGGTGCAAACAAACTGGTTCGTTATCACCTTTAAGAGGGCAACTGATACAACCTTACCACTACAAACCGCCGAAAAAGGACTGGAGGTGAACATTCATTCGGTAAGAACAAAAGAATTGCGTTATTTCGAAACTTGCCCTCATTTCCTACATATCAAATTTATTCATTGTTTCTCACTACTCAAACAGTTGACTGACAAATTTTCATCTACGAAGATTTTGGTTTCGGATAAAAAGTAGGGTACCTTTAGCATCAATACCATTAAAACATCACTAACACACGTTTGATGAAGAATGAACTACAATCACAAGCCATTTGGCAAAGTAGTAATCAGTGAAAATGCAGAACTCACTAGGGAAGGTGGGATTCGATTAACTATTCATATGTCAAACAAAAAGTACAACTATTCAAACCTTTTCTGCCCACTTTTCCTCCTCATCACCTTGCTTCCATCCAAGCAGCTTCTTCACTGCAGGTTCGTGAAATAGGCTGCTCATCATCTCCTGCAAAACGAAGGTCAAAAAATGTTTCCCAGGCTTCCTTTTTTCATAATTTTTAACGAAATGATTTGTGGTTAGAGGGAACATCACAAGCATACTGAACCATCAAAATTATCAGAGTGATGCAATTTGAAGTATCATGCTAGGACAGGTAAAAGAACATAAGAACTGGCTACCCTTGAATGGGCATATATGTCAGCGTTTTATAAATATATTTTCAAATTTCTTGAATATATTTCAACAATTAGAATATCTTTTCTAACCTAAACGTTCCATATGATTTGTACAATGCCACAGGAGAAATCAGGAAAGGTTTGGAAGGATCATAGCAAATCGTCATATGCATCACCTACATTGCTTTGCTGATAGTGATGAGAATAGCAAAAAAAAAAAAGGAAGGAGAGGGTAATGGTGATAGTTGATAAGTGTCGACAATGGTGATCCATTGCATTCGTAATACACTCTATCCATTAAAATGTGTCTACTGCTGTGTAAATATACAAAACTGTCAAAAGGAAAAGAACGACGTGTTATCATGGGAAAACTCCATGTTACCCGAAAATTCAAATCTTTCAGGAAATGAAATAACGAATAATTCTCCCCACATTTTTTTACTTCTGCTATACATACATTATGAATAAGCCTTTAAAAAACAAAAATGTTATATCATCACGTCAGTCAATCGGTCATCGGATCAGATGATGAGAAATGTGATAACAGAGACAATAAAACAATTCCATCCAATATTTCAGTAATTCTAATAGCTTAATTCTAGTTGGCCAACAAGCATTCAAATCTTTTGGCTCGCTTCAGACTTCCACAAAAATGTCCAAAAAAATGTCATATAAAACCGCCAGTTTCATCGGCATGACCAGATGCGGAGTATTGAATATCGTTATACCAGCGACAATTCATTCTAGCATTAGATTCATTGAAGAGTTATTTATACAGAATTTCAGGAAACGAAAAACTGGTTCAGTAATTTTGGACATCTTGGCGACTAACAAAATCAATTGCTTTCCATATAACTACCAATTTCTGAACCCAGCTGACTAAATGCTACATAGAACATGTAATATCAGATATCCCAACTATATATGACTGCCAATACTGAGTCCGTCCACTTAATTCTTCCACAGGGAAAATATGAAATATATGGACCCAAGAATCGGAAAGGATGTACCTACACTTAAGGTGCTATTTGACCCTCATATACATGATCGATAAGAATCCTAGATGGATAGGTTGAAGACAGGTGATTCAGAGATTTTGTATCCATAGTGACAAGCGCATCTATCTGACAAAATATAAGTTATCACAATGAAAACAGCGTAATTATAGGCAACTTATAGACAATAGCATTCCATGAAGTATGAGTGGGAGAAAAAAGAGTAAGAGTTGAAGACGGGATGTGTCCACTCAATTGCATAGTACAGGTCAGAAGGAAGAGATATGAATGACCGAATTATTGCATGCCTATTTACCTAAGATCTTACTATTTTTTAGCTTTCTCAGCAGTTAGTCGGAAATAACTGCAATAAGTTATGCAGAAACTAACAACTACATGGCACGTGTCCCGATAACCTTTGACCTTCACAAACTAAGGTCCCTGCTAACACCGCTGTCATAGCGAACTTCTTACGACTATGCTTATTTAAGAGACCCTCTCCTTTTACTCCATGTATCTTTCTATCTTTACTTGGCTTTGTAGATGAGTGGAAGATTCCGCAGAATAAATAAGGTAAGGTGGAACATAAATGTGAGTAAATGGATATGGCCAATGGTCATTGTTATATGGCCAATCGTCATGGTTCCAACAAACCATCCACGATGTTATCAGTCACTCATCTTGGCTAATTTCTTCCTTTCATTCGACATCATTGCATCAGATTAACTTAGGACCATATACAAAATTGCACTAGGCTCAAAGAAATGTGTCGTTCTATAAGGGGAGAGGGGGGAGGGGGTGGAGGGTGGAGAACAAAAATGAAGACTACAATTCGACCACAAAAAATAAAAAATGATCAATTTCCGAATGGTGTGGTATGGTATGATGCATGCAATTCAAACATACCAATTTAAAGCATATAAAATAAGAGTGGGAAGAGTAGGATGGTACAAGCATATGACCCATTCATACCCGACTCGTCATGAATGCTGAGAACAACCAACATCGTCATCCACCCTTAGCTGATAATAGATAGAAAGCACATAGAAGACAAGTATCAGTGATTAAAGAAAAGGAACAAGTATCCTTTCTCTCCCGAGCTGTCCGTTTGTCCATCAAATGTAACGTAACCACTTAACAATCGAACACCGACCGAACAATAGTACCTTTCTTTTCTGTGGAGATGGAAGAGAAGTGTAGTGGATCGTGGGCGTTCCAACAATTCACCATTGGAACACGTGAAAGTTTTACTGTTGAAAGATGAATGAGATAAGCAAAGGAAGGAAGGGAATGGAAAGAGTGGAATCTGGAAGATGCTCAACTCAGCAATCACCCAAACTGTGAGGGAGGACATACTCGCCCAGTATCATCTTTACTACTATATACACACACACACAGACACACACCCATACACACATGCACGCACACACACACACACACACACACACACACACAGTGAGATAACCAATATATGAAAACGACCCTCTTTTCATCTATTCCTTCATTCTTCCTCTCTTCACTTAATTTTTAGGGAGAATGTTTCAAAATAGAACAAACCGTGTAGCAGTAGTAATAAGTAAACCGTCTGCACTGAGCAAAGCGGAAGAAGCGTATGGATGTATCCGATGCAACTGATATCGGCATATTGCTTAATCATATCTATATGTTTGTTTCTAATTTTGCGAATAGTTAAGATTAATCCGAACTCAAATCATCTGACCGGATGGAGTTCACCTCAAGTCTTCCTACCGTGATATTGATATCCACGACACAGTCGCACGATGCTGTTAGATTGACTGATTGATTTGTGCGTGTAGCATACCAAAAAGGCTCTTCATGCGATATTTCTTACTTCTGTTGCTTACTTCCCACCGTTCAATTCTTCAATTCTTATACAAGTTAAATCCAATTTTGACAACAAGCTGTTCTCTCACTTTTGCTTTTACATAACATAATAATTTGAAAAAAGAAGAAATCATTGAGTTGGCTGTCAATTAAAATGTCCTCTGAGCTAAGATTGACAACCAATACATCCGAGATATCTTTGGTATCTAAATTTCTTCATTAGCCCTCTTATTTTGAAATATTTTCATGTAAAAAGTCTTAAAATGATACAAAAGCTAAGAAATAGGGAATATATGAGTGAATCTTCTCTTTGAATTTTTTATTAAAATAATATTGCGAAAACAGAAATGACGAAGAATATAGTAATATGAAGTGCTGAGGAGAGAAAAATGATAGGTTGTTGCCCCATTTTGGAGAAGGAGACTTGACTTAAAATTATTTTTAATGAATGATCGGTTAATGTGATCAATCTGAGGAAAATAAGGATGAGTTCATCCTTACTGAATTGCTAAGTGAGAAATTAAGGATAGTTCAACATAAAACAAGGAAGGGTGGAACGATAACTTCAATTTCAGATATTAGATTGATATATGGAAGCGCCGTTATGTCGCTCGATGGATGTTTCCGAAATTTTGCAGACGTATTGGAAGACGACTAGCAACACAGCACCATACCTGTAACAGGATAGGGTGCCATCGTCACAATCACACGATTTACCAACCAAATAACCAACCAACCAAATCACAACTACCATCACAACCGTCACCGCCATTATCATCATCATCATCAACATCATCAACCTATTACAGTCGACACTATACCATGATTGCCGTCAAAATGACTGCTTTTCCGCACTTTTTTCTCTGAGCATAACTAACATCACAACAATTTCTCTCTCATCACTGGATTTGTTATTTCCTGCACTTACACGAACAGACTCTTAGGCCTCTCCCCAGCATTTTCTGTGAAATAAGCGAATTAATGCATGCAATTTTGCTTCCTTAATAGAGAAGTTCATTTGCTAACTTATCAGTTATATGTGATCAATGGGGAAAACACATAAAGTGCTTCTTCGATGTATATCCGAAAAACAGAAGTAAT